TCGTCTCAATGAGACGAATCGAATGGTACCAAAATTACATGATTCTAATCAACAGTTCGTAAGATATCGTTAGTGCGTCGAATTAGGCACTGCACCAAATTAGGCATATCTACCTTACATATAATATTTTATTGCTAGACTACATATTTTATATTTTTTTATTACTTCAATTTTAAATCTATATTCTATTCTAAAGTATAATAAATTATAAACTCTATATATTTTTGCTATTTCTATTTATCTATTAAGTATGTAAAAATACTGTTTAAGTCTTTAATTATATATAGTAATATTTTCAAATAGAAAAAAATTTCTATATTACTACATGCTTGTTGTAGTTATATTACAGAGTCACCAAATATAGAAATGATAAACAATGCTAATTTTTTGATGAGATAGCCAAAACCTATTTTTTGTTAAAAATTTGATTTTGGGAGTATCAAAATAATGAGAGAAAAATAAGTTATATTGTTATAAAATTTTCAACCATAGTAAGTATTTTCCAGATTGTTTCTATTATTCTTATTTTCTTTACTACTCAAATTTTCTTTTATTTAATCACTAACAGAATAACCTTTCTGGCTTGAATGATGAATATAATAAAAGTTTACCAAAGAATAAGCTTGATCCAGGCTACAAACTAGGTATTAACTCTACTCATAAGCAGTGTTAGAATATTGGACCAATTAATATATATATATATATATATTAAAATCTGATGGTCATCAGCAGAATTTTTTTCTGTAAAACATTAAACCATTTATTCAAACCATTATATTGTACAAATTTATGTAAAACAGTGCGATAAATTAAAAAGAAATAGAAATGTTTATTTATAATCAGAGTCATAAAAACTATATGAATAATACTTCTAATATGAAACACGGATATTTGGGCGACGCCAATGAAAAACCAGACTTCGATCACATAAATTTTGTATAAGTGAAGTTTAGTTTCTTTCATCATCACCCATACGTTGTTTATTTTCTGTGAAATTAGGTGTCCATGAAGTAATTATCTATGTAACGCCGTATCAAGACAATTATTATGTGTGATCCATACAAATTTTGCCGTAAACATAACCAGTCGTATGTCAAAAAATAAAGCTATTTATCCGATATTTTTTTGCATGAAATTATGTAATCAGTTGTGCAAAATCATTATTGAACATACTATAAGGGGTAGTTTTACTATAAGGGGTAGTTTTAGGCATCTCCCGCGGGAGATGCGTATTCCCACGAATTGCCCAATGATGAGTCAGAATTTCGTCAGAATTTAGTGTAACGTAGCACAATCACGAAGATTAAAACAAACTTTCGTTTTTTCAAAAATGGTTTATTTCTCGAACATTTGCATAAGAAACTACCTTTCGTGCCCTAACAAAAAATTTTCCTTGAGCAATTTTACTATAGGTACCACTAACACTTATATATATCCCACGAGAGATGCCTATAATTTCCCTACTATAAATAACGGAAAAATTTTCTCACTCATGTGCTGCGTACGTACGTACGTAGCAGCACATGAATGACATTAACTCCGACGAAAAAAATTTCCCAATAATGTATCATATTAAGTACATATGAGTGTCGCAAAAAGAAAACCTGATTTCGGTTTTTTTGCATAAAAACGTTTTGAGGTTTATTGATTAATAACACGATATGTGAATAATTAGTAGAACCAATCAGAGTGGTAGAAGTGGTGGAAAAAAAAAATTAGTAAACCCAACGTATTACTGTATTAGGCATAGCCCCTGAAAATGAAAATGATGCATAAATGAGATTAAAAAAGAGACATGTTGTGACCAAAATTACTAGAAAAATCTTTACGCACATTGTCTTCAGGAATACGTATGTCCGATACGTTTTTTGGTGGCACTCATATATATAATAACACAGATAACACAAATTCAATATATATTACTTAAAAGGGTTTCTATATATCTTGCTAGATAGCAACAGAATAGTTTAATATCTAAGCTCAGGAAAAATAACTTTACAATATTAATATGTAAATATTACAATGAAAGAAAAAATTATTTATAATAACGTTGAAATACAATTCAGAAGGAATCTATCGCTATGTATTAACATAAAAGGTAACTTCAGTAATCAAGAATGTTCCTATTTTGACAAATAATTTGAATACATCTCTCTTAATTTCAATTGAGTCGATCGAGAAAAATCTTGTGAAGTATCAAATAGTTCAGGAATAACATTACGATTAGAATGTAATGATGCATTAACATAGTTTTTACCAGAAGGTTGCATATAAGAGTTTTCTTTAGTATCCTCAACAGTTTGAGGTAAAATTTGAGGCAAGTTTATTGTTTGTTGCATTGCTTCTCGAGAACTTATTGTACAGCTAAGGCTTGGTATTGGTATATTACATCGGTTGAGTTTGCTAGATAATGAATTTGAACGCTTTATTCCGGGTCTAAACTTATGTTGGTAATTTTTAAGTTGGTAATTATTGGGGTTAATGCGTTTGATTTCAAGCTCATTTTTAAATGATTCTGGTGTTTGATTAATTTTAAATCTAAAACCGCCATTTTCCTTTATTTTTAAATTCTTCATGTAATTATCGCGTTTGAGCTCTTGTTTAAGACGTTTTATTTCAAGTTCAGTAGAAAGTGTCTTTGGTGTTTGATTTTTAAATTTCATTATTGAATAGAACGAAATAAAGAAAGTCCTAGCCTCTAACTCAAAAATTTATTAAATGTCTTTTCTGTTCTGATAAATAGCACTCCAGTAAACTGTTTCTTAAAATTTAATAGATTGAAATTATAATACAAAAAATTGACCGGAAATTAAGAAACAAATTAAAATTCGAAGGATATTACGAGTGTAGTATTGTTATTTAACAGTAGGATCTAACAATAGGGATTTTATTTTATTTTATTTTTTTCTCAAATAATCTTTGCAACGTTAAAATGAGACAGAACAGAATGTGGAATTTTTATATTTTTCATTTTTTTTATTACGGATGTTTATACTCCGGATTTTACTCGGACATGTTACAATGCCCTTTATGTCCTCACTTTTTTCATTATCTTATCGCCACTATGAGGAGTTAATCTTCCGATTTGTTACACCAAGAAAATCTGGAATCTGAATTGTTACACTAGATCTATTCAGAATTATCTAGAATATCGATATGTTACATACTTCTTATACACTAACGCTAACTGCTAAGTTTTGGTACTACTTAGCGTTAGGAGCCGAACCTACCATATATGTTGTGCGCCAGATGCATCGTTGCGTCAGATAACGCCCAGCCAGGGTTAGGGTAAAAGTCACGGTATAATTTAGGCCAATTATTGCAGATCATTTAATGCTGGTCATCTGGTAGTCATATGAGGCGCGTCAGCTGCAGTCTCACACAAGTATTAATCCGAGGCATAATATATATACTGTATTAATATTAGATTCTAGAATTCTCGATTCACAGGTTCCGTGTGATGCAGATTCATGAAATTTGCTGGGGCCTGTGTTATGTATTTAGCCAATGACTATTTTACTGACAAGTCATCTAACCGATATCACGTAATAATATGACAATTTGACAAATAATAATAATGAAACTAATAATATGCTAAGTTGTCACTCTAAGTGATATATTAGTCGGTGAAGTGACCGTTGATGTGCTAATCTCAATAATTTAATACAATGTAGAATTGATCTAAATAAAATTCAATGCAAAGTCTCGATATAATTATGCCTATTCACACACTATTTTAAGTTCAAAAGACACTTTATGTCATCATAACTATTAGTAAATATTTCCTGAAAGGCTATCGTTATAAACCTAATTATATTTGTTGCTACAAGTGCTAATAGATCTATTGGTTTTAGTAGATATATTAGTTTTATTAGAAATAGTAGAAATATTAGATATAGTATAGCTAGTAGATATGATAGCAAGATATCATAATGCTTTAAAATGTTTAAAATGTATAAATAGCCACAATGTCTCTTTCGCAAAAACAGTAGTTTTTCAGATTCAACGAGATAATAAAGGAATAATCGTGTCTTCATACACGAATAACTCGAATACTTTATTAAATAATCATAAATTTGTTATACGACGATTTTTGTATCTTCATTTACATTTAGTCATTTTCCTCTTGAAACGTAACTGTAATAAACCTTATATTTTACTTAAGCATAAACACGGCATTGTTATTAATCGTCTAACATCTTCGTCACTAAAGTAAATTAGTTATACCGGACTTATAAGAGATAGTTCGATTTAATACTACATAAAGGTCTTTATAAACAGAATGATCTAGAGCATAATAATATATGCGATAAACTTGAATAATTATTCTGAAGATATTAACAATTAATAATTAGTATATTCATGAACTTGAATAATTATTTTAAAAACTTGGATTAACAAATTAATTAACGTGAATAATGTCAGTAATGTCAGGTGAGTTTGCTGGAAAAGTGAAAAGTGAAAAATGAATTTTGGAGAAATAATTTCAGAAAAATGAAAGTGTGAGAGAAAAGGATTGTCAGGAAAATAATATGAACGGTGAGAACATAATTAATTATAATAATACAGTATTGCAGAGGTTATTAATGTGTTTATGAAAAATAAGACATAAATTTTTAGTTTTTATTTTCAATTTTTAATTTTAAATATTATATATTATTACAATAGAGAGTATTATGCGTGTACAAATTTAAATCATACTATTTAGTTTTAATAACTTTTCTTAAATATGTAAATAACATAAAATGGGGCTTTTGCTAACAAAATGACCCTCCGAGCTATTGTTACACAAGATTTTAATTAGTAAAATCATAGCAAATCTATTTTTAGTAAAAAAAAATCATAGCAAAGGCCCCAAATATTCATTATGCCAATTCTTAATTCTTACGTATTGTCATGAATTACGGGCATGGACATTATTTCAAAAATCGGGTCCTCTTAAAAATATGTCTTGAGATAATAACAACGATTTATTCATGTGGGACAAGTTAATTGAATTAATTTACGACAGGGTGAAAGCTGAGAAAAAAACCTGCGAAAGTGGTTACGTTATTGATGTAGATCACTATCTAAAATAGTAAACAACCTAACCCTAAGTAAGATCTGCATCAACAACGTAACTATTTCTATTTCAGCTTTCACCCTGTCGTATTAATTTTATGCCATGCGGTAAGTTCCTCGCGAGTTAATTATTAATGCATAATTAATACGTAGTGCGTATGTATGTATGTAATATAACTTAACTATACAGTATTTACGTAATTCATTGGAAGTTAAATAAACTATATAATTACTATATTTAAATAAAAATATAAAAGATTTCAATAACTTTTAAATATTCCAGAAAATATGGATTTGCTATATACAGTCAGAACCCCTAAATGCTACCCCCCTAAGTGCACGTCCTATGAAACACCTCCCTAAATGCACGTCTTCTCTTGGGCCCAACTAATATTACATCTATAGATTTTACCTCCCTAAATGCAACACCTCTCTAAGTGCACGTTTGACTAAATTTTTATATATGGTCCCGTCGCATTGCATTTAGAGAGGTCTGACTGTACTTGTAATCTGTGATAATTGCTTTTATAACATGTAATTTGCATTATATTTGTTTTGCGTAACTCGCCATTTGAAAGTATATTTGCTTTTGTAGCTCTCCATTTACAAACCTTTCAATAAATTAATTGTTATGACTCGAATTAATCGAATAAAACTCGAATAATAATTTGATCGAATCATTCGAACACTTAATTCACGAGTCACGAGTTAATACGAGTCCAGTCACTACCATGCAGAATTACCCAAATACATATAATGCATGGTATAATACATTTAAATATTTTTACAATCAGATTCATTTTTAATATATTAAATTATTTACGGTTTAAACTTAAATTATACAAATAAAGAAAACAACATTCTAATAATCGCTTCTTACTTTATTTGTTTAATTAAACCTTATTGGGTATTAACCTTAATTAGAAATCTTAATTAAAAAATTTATTCCTTGCACCTGCACTGTCTAAACCTTAATTAGAAATATCAATAAAATTTATTTGCCTTTTTAGTAAAAAAAATCAATCCTAAATTTTATCGTAATAAAGACGTACACTTACCTGGTGGACAGTTAGGTGGATACATAGTTAATATATTTCTATATTTTAATTTAATTTACAATAATTATTATTAATAATTCCGAATGACCTTATGCTTCTGTGTTAACAATTCATAATTTTGATTTTTAATTTTTAATTTTTAATTTTTAATTTTTAATTTTTAATTTTTAATTTTTAATTTTT